AAGATGAGAATACTTTTTTAAAAAGATGACTGACGACTCAATTAGATATTTGTTTATTTCATAAATGTAATTTTTATTAACTTGTAGAGACGATACAGATAAACATCGTAGCGGGAGTCAAAATATTTTTGGTATTATAACTACAGTACTGCATAATATTGTATTAGAATTTTAGGGTTTAGGCAGATTTATTAAATTTAAACTTGTCAATACAGAACATGGCTGTATGCCATTTTACAGCAAATGTAGGGTTACTACTTTCCTAAACAATCTTATAAATATTGCTCTGGTGACAATGACACGCCTCCGCATGGTTTGAATACAACCTGATAAAGGATATGGTGAGGCGAGATGTTGCTTTTGGCAGGAAGCGTTCGATACGCTTCCACTGCTTCAAGCAAACATAGACTCCATCTCACCGAGATATATCTTAGGAAGCCATATAAAGTTTTAACAGAATAGATAAAAGAGCTGAAAGTGGGAGGTACGATTCATATCTACACCGACGATTTTAAAACAAAACAAGACTGAGGATGTGGAATATACTTTAGATACTTAAACCTAAACATAAAATGGGCTGTAATCAGTAGTGCCAGTGGAATTCAAACCGAGCTCACGGGGATTCTCATAGCATCAAAAAAAATCAGCAGAAATAATATTACTGAAACATGGTCATCTATACAGATACCAGGCAAGCACTACTCACCCTGGATAGACCAGGAATTTATTCAGGATTAGTACTAGAATGTCACGAAGCTTTAGCCGAAGTATCTATTAAGTTGTCAACTTAAGATGAATCAAAGGAGGTTGCTATCTTGCTGATTTACTTGCCAAGAAGACAATCAACTGAATACTTTTTGGACCTGTCCCTTCTATTGGACCGACAACATCGTAGTGAAAAACATAATTATAAAAAATTGCCATGTGCAATTCAAGGAGAGATGGAATGAAACAAGGAGCTGAAGACTTGCCAGTTATCCTTCTATTGGCCTAACAAAATCAGTAGTGACAGACTTAATTAAATAACATTCACTTGTGCAATTCAAGGAAAGATGGATTGAAACAAAAAACTGCAAAGTTGCCAGAGTTCTTTTAAGTTATCCTGACAACACTACTGCGAACAAATACTTGACTATGACGAGACAGAATCTGCGTCTGATCACAGGCATTTTGACTGGACATTGCCAACTACGGAAGCATCTTCATATCAACGGGGTGTCAGAATCCGCACTCTGCAGAGGATGCGAACAAGAAGATGAGAACATAGAACATAGAACACCGGCCGATATAAGAAAAGCATCTCTTGACGACATTGTCAACTACTTACATTAAATCTCTAATCGGGCCCACGAGCTAGGAGGTGCCTATCTACTTAGGAGGATGCACAATGGGCCCAGTGAGGCCTATTTGTTCACACGTTACACATACAGATTTTTTAATAAATAAATGAAGAAGGGAACCCAACTGCTCAATAATTGTAGTCATCAATGAGATGAAGAAAATCCAAAGTCAGTTTCACACATGTTCTTCACTCATTGTTATTTATATTATACAGTGCGTCCATAAAGGGTGGAAACACTCCATTATCTAACGAGTTAAATATTTTCGGTTGCTAAGGGTTTCAGATGTTTTCATGGCCTACTTGAAGTTTGGCCATATACTCGTACTAACTACTCAGTAACTGAGTAATTTTCACGTTTTGATTACAAACTAACTATCAAAATAAATATTAATAAATATGAACGCTAATTTCATTTATACTCAGTAAGTATAGGTATTGTAACTCAAATTGTTACTACGTACCTAGTATTTAGTTTGTGGTATATCGTTGAACTCATACAAACATTGACATTTAATTTTTTCCTTTAAAAAAAAATTTGCTCTCGACATATATTTGTAAGACAGTAGACAGTAGGGATAAAAATTAATTTTTAAGAGAAAGTAGAGAACTAAAATTAATAATCGATCTGTCTGAACTTTGCCTCAGAAAAGAATTACCCTAAAAGATAACGCACTGTATATTTATATTATGTACTTACATTTTTTGATTAAGGTAATTTAGGCTAAATCTAGATTTCGTGGTTTCATTCTTTGAAGAGCGTTTCTGGACACCCTGTATAATAGAATGAGGTGGTAATGCACAAATGTTATGAGAAATTGATTTATACAGAAAAACCTTAATTACGATATATAGGTAATTCGCTCGTAGAATCGATGCTAAGATACTGTATTGCTAGCTAATAGATAGGTAGTGTTACTACAATATTAAAAAATTTCAAACCACACAAAACACGCTTCTAATAATAATAGGTACTACATAAAAATACTTTTTTCATTTGAAGAACTTTACCAAGAAAAAAAAATTATTATCTGATAAATCAGGTGCTTGAGACAGATAGGTATATTCTTATCAATGAATTTTGGAAAAGAACTGTCCCCAAGATAACTTTTAAATATAGACCTGCAATTAACCAAAATTTAAACATTAATCTATATAAGTACCTAATAAATCAGTAAGAAGTTTTTTGTATGACCAAAATCTTTAAGAATAAAACAAATTTCCAACCTGTTATTTTCAAAATAATTTAACATGTTTCTAAATAGGTATATTGAATTTATTTATATTTCAATTATTAGTAATTTGAGTTTTCTAGTTTTTTTCCTTACTGTCTTTCAAAATAATGAAAATTGGGTTACTGCGTCGGTTTAGATTAGATTTAATTAGGACTATGGGCCATGTGGCCTCCCCCACCTCGACCTTTTCAGATCTATTGTGGATTACTGCGTCGGTTAGCCGATCACTACCAATTTTAGTCCATTTCCAGAGAAATCCGGAGAAATAGTAAAATTATAACATATTTCAACTGTCTAACTATTCTTTTATATTTATATACCGCCACTCTAGATAATCTGTTAATTTCACAAGCTACCGGTTAAAATAATTAAAATTAAATAATTAAGTTTAAAAAATTGTATGTTTTAAAGTTGAGTGTGCCTTCAGATATAGTATCTTTGTAACTATTTATTAATAGCAAGTTTATATGCACTGGATCAATAAATAATACCCTATTCTTGATTAACAATTAAAAAAAATGTAAAATAATTTCATTTTAACTAGTTAAAATAGATGAACCATGAACTGAATTGTAAAATTTATGTAAAATCCATTTTCGACCGGGGAAAATGGGTTGTGTATTTTGTTTTTTTGCTTTTTATTTCTTAATAGATCCTTTATCAACTTTATTCTTTCGGCATATTATGGAAATGTATAATGTCGATTTTTTCTCCGAATTTGGTACAGTTATTCACGCGTAATTTAATTATTTGAATGTTGTGGTCGAAAACTGGAAGCAATATTAGTTTTCGACCATTATATTATATTCGTACGAAAACGGGTATGCTTTTAAATTAGTGCATGAGTTTTAAGCGTACGAAAAAAGATATACCTTTTTAATATGTAAGAATTTGTAATTTGTTGCAGATGGCAAAAGGCTCAAAAATGATTTAAAAAAAACTTAACAAGGATGATCAGTTAAATAAATCAATAAAAAGGAAGCACTTCCAGTATAGCAATGAAAGCTTAAAAATGGCTTTAATTGAACTTCAAGAGGGGCGCTCGTCTTTAAGGTCAGCGAGCAGAGAATTTGGGGTACTCAAAATAACACTCCAAAACCATAATTCTGGAAAAGTGCCGCAAACCCTAAGAAAAACAGGTCCCTAACCGTTTTTGACAATCGAAGGTGAACAAAAATTAAAGAACTGGATAGTACTCTTGGTAAATGTGGATTTCTGGTAAAAAAATCTGATTTATTGGAGACAGTTGAAGATATTATAAAAAATACTGAAAAGGAAGCATTGTCACTGAGGAAAGTATATGAGCATGGCTTCTAGATTTACAAAAGTTTCTGGAAAATAATAAAAATGAAGACATTCTAGAGGATCCCAATCGGATACTAAATGGTGATGAGGCTTGGTTTTCGCTTTGCCCGAAAACGGGAAAAGTTTTGGGGCCCAGAGGATGGAAGAATTTATATTCAATCAAATTTGGAAACAAGAAAAATAATATAACGGTGCTAATAGTTTTTACAGCGAGTGATAAAATAGCTCCTCCCTTAGTCTTATTTCCGTATGTCAGACCTCCAAAAGCACTTATCGAGAATATGCCGCCAAACTGGGTTTTGGGACGATCAGATAGCGGTTGGATTTAAGGCGATGTATTTTTTGAATACACCGCAAATGACTTCAACCATTGGGTTATTCAAAACAACTTTAAACGGCCCATTTTGTTATTAATTGATGGACGCAACACACATGACGATGCAATTGAGTAAATTCTGCGATCAGAATGGCATAATTTTATACGCTTTATCACCTACGCATATATAACAGCCGGCTGACGTAAGCGTATTTAAACAATTAAAATCGGAATGGAAAAAAACAGTAAGAAAGTGGCAATTTGGCAAATAAACTTAATTTTTGCCAAACGTTAAGAGAAACATTAAATAATATTAATATGGAAGATTACATTTTAAAAATGGTTTCAAAAAATGTGGATTATATCCTCTAGATCCAAACAACGTGGACTACACTAAATGTGTCAGAAACTGTTTAGAACAAGGTGATTCCTTGCTTCAAAGAAAGGGAAACGGGAAATTCTCCACATTTGAAATTGAATCCGCAAAGAAAATCTTGGAGAATATTCAAGAAAAACCAACCAACCAACCAACCAACCAACCAACCAACCAACCGTGGTATAAATGTTGACATTATTAAAGAATAAATATTATTTTTGAAAAATTCGTACAAAACGGCAGAATTCAATAATTAAGTTGGTGCTATTCTACCTATAGAGCAATTTCAAATATTCGAGGCGGAAATTGTTTTAGAATATTCTGCACCTACTCCAAAATAAGATGAGATTCCTGACAGTTCCATTTCACCAGTTCGCAAAGAAAATAAAAATATACACATATTACAGGATATTTTAATTAGTCTAAAAACTAGATCTGGCAAGCAATGAGAATCCGCAAACTGATGGCACCCTCCAAATCCATGAGAATGTCCAAACATACAAGAATTACCAAACTGATGAGAGTTTCCAAACTAATCCGAATCTCCAAACTGATGAGAGTCTCCAAACCAATCCAAATTTCCAAACCGACGAGAATCCCCAAACATTTGAGAATTCCCAAATCAGCAAGAGTCTCCAAACTGGCGCGAATCCTGAAACCGATGAGAACCCCCAAACCGACGAGAATCCTTATATCCATGAGAGGCCTCAAACCAAGGAATGTCTTCATATAGAAGAGAATCAATCCCCAATGATAAAAATTTTCCAACTGAGGAGAATAACCAGACCGATGAAAATTCCCAAATTGATAAGAATCCTTAAACTGATGAGAATCCACAAACTGATCAAAATCTCCAATTTGAGGAGAATCCTATGCTACAAAATATTGATACAAATATCCAATTTGTTCCTTTGAATGTTTCATTTGATAATGTACTGCGTTACAAGTATCCTAAAGATATTCCATCTGTTAACAACCAAGATAAGGAAAAAATTCCTAAAGCAATTAGTTCGCAAAGCTGGAGAGATCAAAATAGAAAAGAAGAAGAAAAGATACAAAAAGCAAATGCAATAAAAAAGAGCAAAGCGGATAGAAAAGCTACAAAGTCAAAGAAGAAAAAAAATAAAGGCAAAAAAGAGAAAAAAGAACCAAGTCAAAATAGAAAAGGAGAATGAGCCCAGCTCTGTGAAGCTGGCCCCCCGAACTTCGAAAATTTTAGTTTTAGAAGCGGCATATGTTTGACCATCTATTGACCATGTCTGGCCACCCACTAAATTTTTTTGGCCACCCTCAGAAACCTAAATATTTAAACCCAGTACTTCGAAAGAGAAGATAATATGTGCTGCTTGTGAAGTTGACTTAAATAGTGACACTGAAGATGAAGACAATAAAATCATAGGATGTGATAGTTGTCCAAATTGGTTTCATGTACGATGTACAGAATTTTGTGGTCTGACTTATAAAGAAGTAATAAGTAAAGAATATAGCTGTTTCACATGTACCTAATGGCACATTTAAATTTATTCGAAAACAAATATTTTTTTATTTTTATGAAATCAACCAAAAAGTAGGTATGTAATACTTTTAAGTTTATTTTTCCTAATAGTTCTAAATAAAGTTATACCTATTTATAAGTGTTTTTTGTTCTCATTACTACTCCTGTCGAAAACCAGTTAATTAATGATCGAAACATGGAAAATACTGGTCGAGAATTGGCATTTTTGTGGACGAATTGAAGTAGATATATATACTGTGGTCAAAAAAGGGGAAAAGTGCAATTTTTTTAATTTTTACTTGTATAAAATTGTTGTTAAAAAAAAGTAAAATATAAATATACCAAACGTTTCTCCAATTTATCAATATTTTAAAATTTACAAATTTAAAGTAAAATATGTTTTGGACTTAAAATTGCACTGACTGAAAGGTAACTTTTTTGTTAACCGGTCGAAAACCGGCGCACTTTCTATACCTAATTATTTTTAAATATATTTTCTATTATTAGTTTTATTTGTGAAGTTGGGATGGCATATCGTTTTTCTTTATTAATTGGTCACTTTAGAGAAGGACTACAAGAAAACAGACAATACTTTGTCTAGGTCACTCCTCCTCCGAAAAAGCTATACCTACGTATACCTTACTATTTATCTATTTGAATTTTAATTGTAATATAATTTAAATGTTCCTACATAAACTGGGATGTAAGGATACATTTGAATTTTAATTATTTAATACTATATAGATATAAGTAATTATATATTAAAAAAGGTACCTACTTAAAACGAATTAGGTATAAAATATTCATTTAGAATAAAAACTTCGGTAAGAGATATTACCTATTTAACATTTTTATTTCTGCTGTAATTAATTGTTCTTCCCCTCCCTTACCATGCTTTCACCTCCCCCAACAACCGTAATTAAAAAATAATTTAGCTATCAAATATTATTCTCTGGATATTATCGACATTTTAAAAAACATCAAACACTAGTTCTCAAATTCCACGGTTAATCGACATACAACTAATCCAGATAATACTTCCCCGTTCAAACACCAGTACACCTAACAATTAAATACTCGTTATTTCACCCAACCCACAAAATTCCATTCGAGCCAGACAGAAAACTCCAAAAACCAACAGATAAAGGTGATTCGAATTTGCCGCCATGAGGGGCCATTCTGATTAAGGCCGACCTAACTCAGCTCCTCCTAAACTACTTAGTTTCCGTCAAGCGCACGTCAAATATGCACGGCCCCCCCATTTATCAAGAACGGCAGGCGCCGCCTATGTAGTCCCTTCTCCACAGCTCATTGGTGGACGTGTTTATGATTAGCTATTAGAGCTTACTGTTATACAGGTCGTCTCTGTTGACTAGCGACACATTTACATTCTGCGGATGTTTCTCGAACTAAATAGTTTATGGTAAAGTTGTCTTGAGGTTAAGATCAAACGGAAAAGGTATTAGGTATATGGCCGATGAATATGTAGGTAGGTATATATCGAGTTGAGTTAGTGGCTGTTTATTTATTTGTTGTTATATTCGTTTCGTTCAAAGTTTTAGTAGAAGATAATTTTTGTAATTACTTAGATATTACATTTATAAGCGAATACAAACTGCCTAAGTAAGTAATGTCAACGTTTTAAAGAGTATGCAATTAAAAAAGTAATACCTAGTTTAGCTTTTTACTGTTTCGTTAACTATTTAAATCACTATCACACTAAAGTGAGTTTGAAATACTTGTTTGTGAATTTTTTTATAATGTTAATGTCAATTAAACTATATAGGTAGGTACTTAATTGAAATAAGGAAAACGAAGAAATCAAAATTAATTAAACTTGAATAATTGTGAAATTTTTATTAATTTTGTTGATAATTTCTGTTCCTTGAATACTTAATTTTTAATTTAGGTTTTTATTTAAGCGCTTTTATTCTGTAGGGGGTTATTTATTCTATAAACTGTAATACCTAGGTATCTAATTATTTAGATACAATAGATAGATACTTTATTTAACTACATAACACATACGAGTAAAATTGTTTATAGTAAGTAGCAGAAAGAAAAATCAAAAATGTAGATACACATTTGCAATTAATACAAATTAAAAGTTAGGTACATAGATAAATGTAATAAAAATAGGATTTATTTAAGTCACATTTACCAATAAATTGAAACAATGATAATAAAAATAAAACGAGGCAAAATAAGGTAAACAAGCATTCTATACTGAAAAAAATTTGGTACCTACAATGTAAAAAAAACTTTGATAATAACTGTAAGTTTCGCAACATAATGATTGTAAATATAACTTACAGTGATTTTTACTGTAAAAAGGATTCAATTGTTCCTAAAAGTACAAACTTTTTGCTAAAAATAATTTTCTTAATGTAAAAATATAAATTTATTTGAGATATACCTAATTTACTTGCAATTTTACAGAACTTTTAGTATTATTACAGTTATATGAATTAATTCACAAATCGCCTATAGATTTACAACATTTTGGCACGTTTTAACCTTGCAATTTTACAAGAAATATGTAAAATTAGATAATGATAGTCTCATTACCATGTTAACTTAAATAATAAAAGTGTTTTTACAATAACCTCGTGAAAATTCAAAGATATAGGTTAATTCACAAATGCCTTGTAAATTGACATAAGTTTGTAAGCTAACAATAATTCTGTAAAATTACATTATTGCTGTAATTAATAGAAAATAAAATGACTTTTACAATAATCTTTTCAAAATAAAAGTATATAGGTTAATTTACAAATATTTTGTAGTTATACAATATTTTTAAATCCGTTTTACAAATGTAATTTTATACACCATCTGTGAATTTGCACTGCCTTGTAAAAATACGTATAAATCCTGTTATTCACAGATATAATGCAGAATTACAATATATTTAGACCGTTTTAGCATCTTAATTTCACAAGAATTTTATTAAATTTCACGACAGTTGTGGTTTTTTAAGATCCTTGTGCCACTGAAAGTTGGTTACCAGAATTTGAAATTTTTTTTATAATAGCTGCAAGTCTCACAACTAATTGGTTGTAAATATAACTTATAGTGATTTTCACTCTAGAAAGGGTTTCACCGTTCTTAAAATTATAAACTTTTTTACTAAAAATAGTTTTTACAAGAAAAACACTAAGTTTTCATTGTTTAAAAAAATACGAATTTATTTTGATCTAACTTATTTGCATTTTTACATTTTTGTGGGAACATAAAAAGTGAAAATGCGAAAGTTTTAGTATTGTTACAGATCTATGAGTTAATTCACTAATATCTTGTAAATTAACAATATTTAGGTAAGTATTAACCTTGCAATTTTACAATAATAATTGTTTAAAATTAGATGATTACCTTGTTATTTTAAATGATGAAAGGTTCTTACAATAATCTTGTGAAAATACAAATATATGAACGGATTCACACATGTTTTGTAAATTTCCAACATCTATAAGTTCGCTTCAAATTGTGGAATGTAGCAACAAATTTGTAAAATTACAGATATGCAGTAATTATTAGAAAATAAAGGGATTTTTTCAATAATTTTGTCAAAATAAAAATATAAAGTTTAATTTACAAATATTTTGTAGAGACACAATATTTATAAATACGTTATACACGCGTAATTTTAAAAATATTCTGTTGAATTTACACTTGTAAAAACATACAGTGTGATATTATATACTGGGTTGTAAAAATACAGATAACTCACAAGGTAAAATCACAACTTGTATAAAAATACAGAATTATATTCCACACTTGGTTGTAAAATACAGATAACTGACAAGGAAAAATCACAATATGTAAAAAATTACAGGGTGATATTACTCAGTAAGTTGGTAAAATACAGATAACCCACAATTTATAATCACAACTTCTAAAAAAAAATACAGGGTCATATTACATACTAAGTTGTAAAAATACAGATAACTCACAAGGTAAAATCAAAACTTGTCAAAAAATTGACAGGGTTAAATAATAGAGTAGTTTGTATTAATACTACCTGCATGTGGAAAAGGCAGTGTTTACTGTATAATAAATATTACAAGCTTATTTTGAATTTTAAAGTAACCAATGCGTTTTTACAGTCATTAATGCAATTTTACAATGATTCAGTGTAAATATCATTCTAAAGTGACAGTGAAATTACAGTCAAAATCACTGGCAACAAATAACCAATGATTTTAGATGTACTTTCACTATTCAGTGTTTTCAGTGTATTGTTATCAGAATTGAAAAATGTTTTATTTAATTTCTAACATAGTATCTACAATATGTCATTTTGAACAGTTTTTCCCCACCTAGAAACCTTTTCTTGAGTTCTGAACAGTACCTACCATAATAATAAAAGTATATC